TTTGAGTAAAATACTCTGATTCGGGCAAGTTGAATATCTGAGTAGCGTAATCAGAATCGGGAGGTCAATAGTTGAGTAAAATACTAGGAACTCAGTTGGCATTTGCCCATCTTTGGTCCTAGCTTCCTGGCAGCATCGTCAAATCATTTGATCTCCGAAAAATGTCGATGTCATCAGCATACCCCAGGATTTGTACCATATGATTAAAGATGGTTCCACTGGTCTAAACTTTTGATTTTCCGACAGTTTTTTCCAGACCAATATCGAAGGGAATCTCCCTTTCGAACGGCATTATGAGAGACGAATCCCTCAGATAGATCTCCCTGAATCTGCACCATACACTCGGTATTGTTCATTATAAGTTTTACAAGCCGTATGAGCTTAAGTGGTACATTGATGTCTTTCATTGCCTGATATAGGGCCTCGCGTTGAATACTATCATAAACAGATCTAAAATCAACAAATAGATGTTGCGTCTGTATCTGGTATTCCCTTCCGCGCTATAAGATGGTTCGTAGGGCGAAAATCTGATCTGTTGCAGACTCTATCTACCTATCTATCATATAATATTATTTCCCTTCTCTTCCCTCCCTCTGAGCTGTACGATGCGTTTGCCAAAATTCAAGAAGATCTACCACCTTTTAAAATACCATCCCACTTAAAATTCGCCATGCACCATCCTTATCCACATTCAAAATCCTCTTATTGCGATTCCTCTTCACAATCCAATCAGAGGCTGGTTAATTATTTATTATTTAACAAGGATAATTTTTTTCCCTTTTCATGGACTATTATTTAATTTTCTGTTTATTATTTATGAATTGGAAAGATTCAGTATCACTTTTGGTATTGCACTGCGATGCATAAAAAATAAGAGATTGTTTGTTTGTATTATCCATTTGGTTTTATATCTGCAAGATTATATATATTTTAAATGTATTTCATTTTTTACATTCCTCAACTTGTATAAATATCTATATCTTTTCCTATCTTAATCTCCGTGTTTGTTTATAGTTTACAATACCATTGCGTATTGTATAACATATTTAAATAATTTATTTTCTTTTATTTAGTATTTTTTTTCTTTTTGTCGCAATTGTTTTCTCATAAAATTAATTTAATGCCCCTTCCTAATTGTATTTATCTATTTATGCTTATTTTATATCTCTTGTGCCGGGATATTGCAATATTGTAATCCCGCTGCTCATCTTTTGTCATTAATCTAGGTATATATTTTGTATGTTTTAGCTTTTGATATTTTTTCTTTTCTAGAGGTTTTTGCTTTTTCTTTCTATACAGGTAATTCTTTTTTTTTGTTTTTTGTTTTTGCCAGTAAAATTATAAATATAGTTGAGAAGATTTTATTTTTTAGTTATTTACATACTATGATTTATATTTATATCTTGTTTGAATCTTTATTAAGTTAGTTTTTGGCAAGATAGGTATTTTTTCTTTTGTAAATATTTATTATTGTTATTTTAAGGGGGCATCGTCCCAGAATAAAGTTTATTTTTATTTCTTATTATATTAGGACTTCTCGACAAGATTTTACCTTGGGATACTCAATAAATAAATATTTTCATTCCATTTCAGTAATTTCAAGACGATGAATATGGATGAATGGATGAATATCCTGGCCCTTCTATGCAAAGGAAGCACCTTTAATTTATATTTCGTTTACACTTTCATTCACTTCATTTACACTTTTTGTATACACCTGGTGTGAATGTTTGTTACATGATTTTTGTATTTCAATTTTAGTCGTATAGTTCAAACCCCATCAGAATGTCAAATTAAATAAATGTTTATTTCACTGACTCATACCAGATCTTAAAATTTTCAAGTTTTGAAAATTTGTCGAATTGTGAAAAGCTGTAGTCCGAAGTCTATTAGATTTACCGCGCCCATTTTGGTCTCAGATTGTAGTGAATTTAATCTAGTTAAAAATTGTATTGAATGTTTTTTGTTTATAACTTGTCCCTTCATGGTCGAAATGGGAGAAAATGCATAGAAGTGCGAAACTTTAGTAGTTTTTGGAACATTCAAAGCATCTCACTCACATCCCACACAAGAACATGAAGAAACCTAGTTCTACTACTTCATGCAACTTAGACTCTCCTTTTCATGATAAGGTTATTGGACTAAATTGCATGCCACTATAATTAGTACATTAGTCAGTAGTACATATCGACATGAAACGTGCCAACCATAATGGCAGTAGAAAAAGGAAATAAAATAAGACGAAATATTTAGAATTCGTTTTTATCACACCCTGGCATTTAAATATATATATATATGGTTTCCAGATTTTTAAATGTCGTGATAAGGGTGTCCCACTTCAGATTCTAGCCAAGGGCTCGAAACGGAGCCAGACCGTGCCATAACCAATTTTATCGCTTTCTTATCTTGCTAGATCCAGGGATTATGTCTGATCAGGCTCAGTGAGCGCACGAGCACCTGTATTTCTATATCCTATAACTAAGGATGGACCGATTCGGGCGGGACGGTTCGCGCATCGAATTACATCACCGGAACAGTTCCGATGGGAACGAGACCCTAGGAAACTTTGTTTCGCTGGAACTTAATCCAGGACCAGAAAAGTCTTGGCAGAAAAGTCTGCTGATTGCCGCCGAAGTGGGTTAACGTAATAGCCGAATAGGTTGTTTGCTTCAAAAGTGAACCGTAACGACTAAATTCAATTTAGTAATTGATTAAATATAAAGAAATTTAATTAAATTAAAATATAATAAGATCATAACAATGATTTTAAAATAGCAATTTGCAAATTTTAAAAATCAAGAAAAAAAAAATTAAAATGTCAAGATTCAGATAAACTATCAAAATAATAATAAACTAATTATAAATAATATAAAAATAAATACTTTAATCATATTTTATTATTATTAATACCAATGATAAATATGTGGTTCTGTTGTACAAATGAAAATTGCCATAGATTTTATATCATCGGTTTTTTTTTTCACAAATTATTCGGATTTAGAAAACCTAAGATTTCGCATTTTATGTTATTTTATTTTTTAACTACATATAAAAGTCTTGCGAGATGTCAATATTGTTTAAACATTTTCGAAAGTTAAAAAAAATATTGATTTTTGTTAAATTTTGGCCTTTTTTATTATTATTTTTTTTATTCTCGCCTTTGCGGATTCAAAGCTGAAGGTGGGGGACAAGTCCAGCCACCTGCAGTTATAATGTTTTTATATATTTAAAAATTTTCTTGTAATTCTGGCTGTATCCAAGGGAACTGCTTGCTGAGCCTCTCTTAATACATCCAGAGGTAATTCCAAGCCGTCTGTACCTGCCACCGTTGACTTTGGGATCAGACCATTAGGTTGATATTATTATTGGTGTAACCAATACTCTCTCCGAATGGTACAACTGCTTTAATTCAATCGCCAGTTCTTGGTACTTACGGAGCTTCTCTCCCACGGTCGTGCTTATGTTGTTATCGTTTGGAATCGCGATATCAATTAACTTTGCCTTCTTTGCTCCTAAATCTATAATAAGGATACCAGGTCTGTTGTGACGCACTGTATGATCCGTTATTATAGATTCGTCCCAATACATCTTGATGGAACCCTTCTGAAGCAGCCTTATTGGATTATATTTGTAATATGGCACCTTTTCATCCAACAGGTTAAGTTTCATAGCCAGAGTCTGGTGGAATATTTTTGCCACATTGTTGTGCTTCTGCAGATACTCCTTACCAGCGAGTACTCCACATCCAGCTGTGATATGTTGGATTGATTCGTACGTCGTTGAACAAAGTCGACATTTATCAGATGTTGTGGTGTCTTTAAGAACGTGCCTCCTATATGACCTGGTGGCAATGACCTGATCTTGAATGGCGACTACAAAGCCTTCTGTTTCAGTGAATAGCCTTCCTGCCGCTAACCATTCCACAGATCTTTCTTTGTCTATGGAGGCTTCATTCAATTGGCTGTAGTATCTGCCATGTAGCGCCTTGCTTTTCCATTCTGACAGCCTTTCATTTTTTGACACAACTGTGAAATCTTCGGTTTTGTTCAAATTGAGTGCCGTTAGACCTGAATCCATATTGGTTATAGTAAGGCAAATCCCTATAGTTTTTGAAAGAAAATATCGTCGTAGCGCCAGCTCTTGCTTTCGACATTCTTCCTCTATATTTATAAGTCCGCGACCTCCTTCCTTTCTAGATAAATACAGGCGGGCTTTGGAGGATGTTGGATGGTGAGACCGCTCTTGTGTGAGTGTCGTTCTTACTAGACGATCAATCTCCTGTAGACTGGTACGCAATATGTTTGCAAAAACTGCTAATTTCTGTTTTAGGTTATCCAGATATTGCGTCAGTCTATCGGTCAATTCATTTTCCATAACTGTACCCAAGTTATGGACTATGATTTCATCTATCTTTTCCTTTGTCTTGGCTCTTGCAGTTTGTGGATTACGATACAATTCATTTTTTAATAAGGTAATAATAAAAGCTTTGTACAATAAAATTTTTGTTCACCTGGGGAGGGGAGGGGGTGGGCGCTATTTGTACATCATTCAGAACTATCTCAACAATTACTGTATAATGATTATTGCCTAGAAATAATGCTTAAGCACGTAATTACCAGTATATTTTAAGAATTCTTCTAGTTTTTTATTGTATTTTTGAACTTTTGATGTAAGAAGTGTTCAATTTGGTTTCCATATATGTGATCTTATTTTTTGATGTCCTGGTTATGCCCAAGTTGGCGATGAATCATTGAGGGATGGATAGTATATTTTTGAGACTAAAGGTTTTTAGTTTTTAATCTTTAAATTATATTTTTACAATTAATGTACGCCTCTTTTCCAGTTTTTGGTCTTTTATATTAAGTAATATCAATCTGTTTTACGTCTGTTATTTATGGATATGTTTGGTCATGTATTTAGCGAATCAATGTATCAAAAGACAGCATGGATTATGAAACATTTCCTTCAATTTATTATTAAGTACTAAATCTTTTTTTCAGTATTTGTCAAAAAGGTAATGGAAACCAGAGTGGAAACGACGGAAATACCTCATTTTTATGAATTTCACATTATTACTGTTAAAGACTCCTACTTCATAAATTGTGATATAGATGTTAAAAGTGCCCATCAAGTTATGGCACAATTTTTATACAGGAAAAAAGTGGGAATTGACAGATTTTTGATATTTGTTCATTTGGAAGGTATGTTTTTGTTTATGTTATTTTTTTTTTTTTATCTTATATAGTTACTCCTTGCGAGAGATATTTATTTGCAAGGCACGACGAAACAGCATAATTTAAAAAGGAAGGAGATGGTCCGGGGTTGCGGTCATAAATAGGCTAAATAGTGGTAAAACTATTTTATTGAAAGCCGACGTTCGGACCCGACTTTGCAGGTCTTCTTCAGGGAGATATGTTCAGCTAGGAGTTTCCCTTAGAACTGACCGCAACCCCGGACCATCTCCTTCCTTTATAATGCAACGGTTAACTATTAAATATTCAATTCAGCATAATTTATGTTTGAGCTGTAAGATTTATATTTTAAGTTAAATTTCTGCCTTGTTTAAATATAAATAATTAGCATGACAAAATTATAAAGAGAAACAAAGATATACAAAAAAAAAAATACACAAAAATACACAAATGCACACATTATATCGCTTACTGCAATAACGTTATAACTCAAACTCATGATTTTTCAAGAGATACTTTTAAAGTTTTAAATTATGTGTCAACTGAATTGCTTTCAATGTATAATTATAAGGTAATATTGTGCTTTATACTTTTACTTGTTGTATTTTATGAATACATTTCTTAAACTCAACATATAAATATAAATAACGCTTCAGTCAAATTATAATAAAAAATAAAAATATGGTACAATTAGCCTTGGGGCTTCATAAAAAAAATGAAGCTTTGCCAGTTAATTGTCTCTGTATGGGGCTAAATGATGATGTATGATTATCGAGTTATGCTGTGTTGAATATCCGTCTCTAAGCTAGGCGAAACAATGCTATCGATGAGCTCAGCGCTAGGATTTGAAACTTATTCACTTCCTACATGGTACGAGTTCATAATGTTAAATTCCTGATACAGATTATACCTAATTAGCAATATTTGATGCATTATAAATCTAGAACATTTCGATTCGGTAACCAATTGTAACAAGTTCTTTTCTTAATGTAGTAAAAACTGTACAAGTTTCATAATTTTTCACTCAGTCGCTTTTGATATATTCTACTTAAAAAATGTTTGAAAATGAGTTTTGGCCATTTTAGACAGTTCATATTAAAAAAAAAGTACAGTTTTTCAACATTAAAATGTCTTCAGCCGGTTTATTCATACGTAGAGATAAAGAAAATAAGAGTAAAACTAGTTAAAAATAATATTAAATGTTATGTATACATGCAATAAATATTAAAATTTGATTTTGATGCTATTAGCTGTTCTCTTATATTTTTATATTAAAGTATTTATCTAACATTAATAGAATCATGGAATATATTAAATTCCCTTTTTTTTATTTTCATTTACTTGTATATTATTTTTAATTTCAGGTATTACTCTTTATCAACTGAAATCTGACTCGTTTAGTGATGGTATGACCAAGGTTAGATATTTTATTTTACCATAAATAATTTTTATTCTGTATCCAGTTTGATCTGGTCAAATAATATTTTTGGGTGTAACGTTAATATCAGAAACTTAAGGATGTGATGTTAGACCTCAAATGAAACAAATAAGCTAATTTGAGATTTTGTTAAACTCCAAACAGTGAAGAGATGAATTCAAGTTTTTTTTGCCATTTTTAATTGTCAAAAAGTCGGGTAGAAATTTTGTGACTCATTTAAAAAAAACGTTCTGTCATAGACAGTTATAATGTCAAACCTCAACATACGATATGCTCTAGTTTGCTGGTTCAAAGCGGTCGCGTTCCAAAATTACGGCCATTGGAAGGGGGTGGGCCCAAACGCGTAAAAATTAGAGTTTCTAATTTTTAAACAGTTCAAAAGTGCCTCAGTGGAGTTTGCACCGTTTGTTTTGAACCTCTCTCTTGAGGTTTTGAATACAGTGTGGCCCCATACACAGTGTTGAGCTGTATTAATTGTCTCTTCCAGAGTTCGATTAATTTTGAATTTCGATTAGTTTTGAATTTCTCTCTTGAGGTTTATGGGGCCACACTGTGTTGAGCTGTATTAATTGTTTCTTCCTGAGTTCGATTAATTTTGAATTTCGATTAGTTTTGAATTTCTCTCTTGAGGTTTATGGGGCCACACAGTGTTGAGCTGTATTAATTGTCTCTTCCTGAGTTCGATCAAGATGGTCCCTTTTCGGTCCCAGAACACGGAAACCTTGGTATTGTTTTGTCTGAAATAGTGATTCTGACTATTTTCGCTGGTGGGAAACCAGTGTTCCGTCACTGCGATGTCTGTTTTACTGTTTCAGCACAGTTATGAGCCACCAATGTTTTTTCATGGCGCACCTAACACGGCGAGATTTGTTATTTGCATATTTCGCTGAAATGGTGGCTATGAGGCGAGTCTTGGTACTAACGAGTCTGGCCTCTGCCCGTTGTTTTTTGGAATATCCCCACTGCTATTAAGTGTGAGCAACTGTTGACGAAATAATGTACCTACACTGCGAGAACAATGAAGAAAATGATTTTTCCAATACCTTAAGAAACAAGTTTATTGTTTTCCACTATGAACCATTTTGCGCCGTACCGACAGACAAAATAATAGATTGTTTTTTTTCCCAGATAGTGCAATTTTGCAAATATTAAGGAACCACCTATTCCTAAAAAGATAATTGTCATAAAATACTTACTAACACATCCTTCCAGCTTTAATTTAAGTCCTGATAGAGCAGTTTACGTTGAATAGTTCACAAAAACTGTTTAAAAAATTCGTTAAAAAAAAGATAGGTAAATCACTTTTTTTGAACTTTATTGAACCAAGTGTCATGGAATGTACCAAAACGTAAATAACTATTATAAACTACGAGTAGAAGTAACAGTTTATAACATATTTGCTATTAATATCACATTTATTCCAAAATGGTGATTTACCGTTTTTTAAAAAAAAAAGTCTGGTGTGCCCACAAACACGACTTTCCTACATATTTTAGAAACGTTTTTATATCTTTACATATGTCCACCAAGAAACAAAAAACAAAAATGAATTAGATTTATTTTAGTGAAAATTGATCAAAGAAAAGATTTGAGTATGATTTATTAAATAAACTTAAGCAATGTAAACTGGCTTAAGGTAGATCAGTGTAAAATTTCAATACCATCAATACATTGCTGATCAAAAACCTTTTGCCATAGCCTAATTTTGTCAAATAATAATTTCTCTTAAAAGTAGAGGTAAAAGTGAAGCTTGTGTGATGCAGGCAACAGATTTGCTTACTTACACTAAGTTATCTTTTTTCTCTCATTCCCTTTCTGACACCAGGATATGTACATGTAATGTTACATTGGAAATTGAATAGCTGTAACTTCGTTAATAGTTGTTCGAAATGAACGATTTTTATATAGTTTTGTAGGGAATTTCATTATCTTTAAAGAAACAAGCTAAAAGATGGCGTTGAAACGTATAGATCCGTCGAAAACCGCATATCGGAAATATGACCCGATCGCAATACTTTCCTTACCTAGTATAGGTAGGAAATAAAAAAAAACACATTGTGTTTTCATGCCCTATCAATCCTTAAATCGAATCAGTTACCATTGGTGAATTTGAGTACCTCCTCCCATTAAATTGGTACCAAACATCCTCACTTTCAGTTAGTGTTTGAAATTATGAGAAAGAGGACGTCGCTCTGCACTAGACCAAGACAATTAACAGATAAGAAACAAATCAAGTTTATTTATTTATTTTAATTATTTTTAATTAATATATACATCCTTTTTTTATCTCATTTTATTTTTATCTGAGGATATGGTTTTTGTTTTTAATTTATTTTATCTATGGGAGATCCCGTAGGTCTTAGAAGGCCCAAGGCAAAAATAAAACAACCTCGTGGTCGCATTAAAATATTACCCGAAGATATTACAAACCAAACAAAAATCAGTTCATTTCTCATTATATCGATTAGTACATATTTTATATATGTATATATATATATATACATATATATATATATATATATATATATATATATATATATATATATATATTTTTTTTTTTTTTCCTTTTGTCTTTTAATGATGCAGCTGTTATATATGTAAATGCAACGCTTTGTATCTTATAATTTAATGATAATACTTATATGATTCTTCCAACATCCAAGATAAAATGTTATGACAGTGAAGTGCTTGCTACCTTTGGTTTAATTTGGTGCTACCGAAATTGTATTAGCAACTGCTGAAATAGTTAACAATTTATTTACACTATGTAATTGTATGAACTACCAAATAAACTATATATTTTCAGTGTTTACAGTAAAACCAGGTTATAACCTCTCCCAAAAAGTTATTAACTTATGTTTTATAATTCTATTTTTTATTTTTTCAGTTGACGACGGTAGCATTAGAAACAGTGGTGAAGGTGTTTTCTTGGGCCCAGTGGGACGTTGAACATCAGTGCTTGTATTATATTTTTTACAGGAAAACAACGAAGTCCGATGAATTGGGTGAACTGAAAAATGAAGACACGTCACCCACTTTATCCTCTTTGCAATTCAATGACGATTTTCCTCATGAAACTGTAGTAAGTGTTAAACCACATTATTCAACTATTGGGTTATACCTAATCGCATTTAGAATACGGTAATCTTACCATTTTTTTTATTTTGGTAATTTTATATAAAATATTTAACAGGAAGTTCTACTCTCTTTGACCCAGAGCTGCTATTCTCGTAATTTGAGATAATATACTTATATCAACAGGTCAATTTTTTTTTCTGATTAATCAGCATTAATTAAGACCGATCATACTATTAGAAAAAGGTTACCACCCTAGGGCTCTAACTACACTCCTCCCTTTGCTGTTTACAAAACCTTTTCGTATTGTTAACTTCTGTGCACCTTTAGTCAAGTGCTGCTTTCGGGCTGAAGCCCCCGCCCCCCAAAATGGAAAAATATAACCATGTTTTATGGGAAAAAAAATTTAAAAAATACCTCGTAAAGTATTATTGTTCGTGCAATTACATTTAAAAGTACTTAAGGAATAACTTAAACACCATTTCATATAGGTAGTTAGTTTTTTTCTGTTTTTCCAAAGTAATTATCGTCATTTTTATGAAAAAAAAAGGTTTCGGGCTGAAGCCCTCTCCCCCAAAATTAAATCCTGGATCCGCTAGTGCCTTTAGTTACTTCATTACTTGCTATGTGATTACCTATCGAACCAGGCATACCAAGAAGGGAGTTTTATGACACAAGTTGCGCAATCAAAATGTTTGAGGGGGACACATTTTGATGGGGTGTTAAATTTATGAGGGACATATTTATGAGGGGCAGGGTCATGAATTTTTGAAATGGAAAGTTTCAAATCTGAAACAAGGGGAAAACAGGAAACAGACCACACCAAGTGTAATTGGATATGATCTACGATCTTTAAAATTTCACTTTCGTTTGCACTGTTATTAAGAAGAGGAAATAAATAAATTATGTTGGGAAGGGAAGGGGGAAGGATCATGCGCCATCGAACTTGGGGGGAAGGAGGTGGGGATGGGCATTCCTGTATCAAACGACTTAAAATGACTTACGGTAGGGTTTAGAGGGCAGTAAATGTTGAAAAGTATTTTTTAAGATTAAATAAAACATAGACATTTCTGCTTTTTGGTTGTTTGACCTTAATTCTGTCAATAAAATGATTTAATGTTATGCGATGATATTGTTATCGAAATCTATTAACTAAAATATTATTATAAAATTTAATTATTTATTTATATTTATATTTTTTTGAGATGACGAAGAGATGGATAAAATTAAGTTTGCCCCTCTAGTCAAAAAATATAATCCAGCTCTATCGTAAATACCATACAGTTCCAATAATCGTAGCCGTCCCTGTTTGCAATCGAATTCATCGGTAATGAAATTTTATTTTATTCTGTGATTTTCTTTTAGGTTATTTACATGGTATATTTATAATTCAAATCCGCCGGTCCTGATTTTAAATGGGTTCGGTCTAGAACAGGGGTCTCCAAACAACAGCACTCGGGCCGCATCCGGTTCCAATTCGGCTCGCGAAAGTCTCTTTGATTACATGGTAAAATTAAAAAAAAGAAGAAATTAAGTTTAACCATTTATATGCGAGGTTACTGTAGCATTTATTTCCTCCTCTTTCACCCTTGACCGATGTCCTATAATACGCGTACGCCTCCTCAATGTGACGATTTGTACGCAATTGGGTTTTAGGAACATGGCATATAATTTCCAGTTGGATCGTCTTATCTGTTATCCAGCCACTCCTCAATATATTTTTCGGGGGATCTTCCTTTCGAATATTAGAAGGCTCTCTTAGTCATTTCGAGTGAGTGTCCATGTCCCACAACTATAGAGGAAAACTGGTCGTATCTAGGTTTTATGCAGCTGTACCAGGGTTTGTCTAGACAAGAGGCGACTAAAAAACTCCTGGCGTAAGCTGAAAAAGCAGCGGTAGGCATTCACAATTATCTTTTTATTTAGCTTACGAAATTTGGATTGTTAATAGAATTGTGTACAATTTATTACAATTTTGAAGAAAGTTAGTTATTTGTGCAAAATGATACTTTGTGGTTTTATACAGCCAACTTACAAATCATGTTCCAAAGACATTTAAACTATTTTTAATGATCTGTGGATTTGCTTATAAACAATACCAACAGTAAAACAGAAGAAAATATAGCGGTTTCTTTTATCACTGCCTAAGCTTAATAAGGCCTCTAATGATAAATACGGATAGAGTAATAATGGTCCATACTAAAATTAAGTTCATTCTAATTCTGTCGTTTACAGACAGGAGGTAATTATTCAGTAGCCTCTCGAAAAAAAAAAAAAATTCAAATCAATTAAAAGTAATGTGATAAAAGAAGATCTTTATGTTTCGATTCCAATATGAAGTTATATAGCTCAACTTTTTATACATTAGCTAAATGGCTTTATTTCTGCTGTAACTATTTTAGTAACGTTAACTTATCCTTTAATTTTTATTTATATATTAATTATTTTTCATTTTATTTCATTTTAGCTGAATATACCAGTCAATCTACCTCTGGATTTGGATTCATCTTTTAACACCTACGAGGATGAACCTATACCCCTTCGAGTCCATGGTTCTTCAATGGATGTTATTGTTTTATCAGACAGTAGAGGTTTTGTTTGCATATGCTACCATTACTTATACCAGGTATATTAATAGTTTCTAATTTATCAATCACTTATTAGAACCTAATACATACATAAACATCTCTTCCCATTAATCTTGATTAGATTCGTAAGATATTCGATTATCTAATTATCTAATTATCAGATTATTAGTAATTATTTAAATAGATTATTCATTGTTCCTTCTGTGAAAAACATCTAATAACCCTTTCAGCAACAGTGAAGGCATTGGAAATTATCTGTTATACTATTCCATTGCACTTTTTTTTTTTATTATATTAATTTTTATTCAAAAACTACAGTTTTTAATATCTCCATCACTCTTTTCTCTTAAAGACTCTTATTTATAAAGATATATATATTAAAATATTTTAGAAATTAGGGTCTTAAAAAAGATCTATCTATCTATATATTTTTTATGTTGTTCATTTCTGTGAATAATATTTCTTTCCAGTGACTGGAAGGATTTAACAGCAATAAAAAGATATACCATTGTTCCTATTCCGATCGAACTATTCTAGGAGCAGGATAATCGATGACATTTTATTTAATTTATTTATTTTAGTAACAATCGATTAAGCCCTGGGCCACTCCTGCGGACAAAGTAAGATAGGAAGACAAGGGTTGATTAGGGATAGCGACAGCTTGTGAGCGTTGGGAGAGGAAAGATTGAAACCACAGGATAGAACTATGGGAAAAGGATAATGATTTTAATTCGGAAAAGAGAATGGAATGGTTAATGGTATCAAAGGCTTTGGAAAAGTCAAGGAGTATAAGGACAGTTAGTTTTTGTCATCAATGGCGGACTGAACATCATTAATGATTTTGATTAGGGCGGATTGTGTGGAGTAACCTGGTCGGAAACCAGATTGGTAAAGGTCAAGTTGATTGGACTGTTCATCGGATTGTGGTTTGTGTCAGGTTGCGGAGCGCCCTGAAAGCTTGATAGTCGTCAGCTAGTCTAGTGCGTCTAAAGCGTCTACGGGCCGCATCACGCCTCTTCTGAAGATCCTTAATTTTCTGACACATCCAGGGAGCAGGAAGGCGATGAAATGTGGAGGTTTTGAGAGGGGCATGGTCATCAAGGATATTAATAAGATTGGAGGTGAGAATGTCAACCATGGAATCAATTGAGGTGCAGGAATATATTATATTCCAATCTAGGGATTCTAGGGAAGGTATTTTATAGTATATTATGTTTCATTTTGTAAAATGTTCTTTTTATTGATTTTTATAATTATATTTCAAAAGTTGACGTTTTTAAAACTTATTTGTTTTCCTGATAAATTACATATTACCACCGAAATTTCCTGTAATACTTCTACACTCTTTTGTACAGTAGTATATCGTCCTCCTCTTGTCCCGTTTGATCCGACATTTACATTTAAATCAACCCTGCTCAACTTCGTTCCCCTCTACTCTAGAATAATTATTACCGGTGACCTAAATACCAATCTCCTTTCTTATTTGAATCCTACCTAGAAAATCTATTTTTCTCACTTCACCAGTTTATCGTCCCTTTTTCCCACATTCACCACATCTGCTGGTCCGACATTTTGTTAGATCTTATACTTACACATCCATTATTGACTCCACACAGAATCTCTCTCCTCCTCTCAATTGCCAGCATTATTTTTATCATCTCATGACCTGATTCAGCCTAGATCCCTTACTTTCCGTCATCTAGAGAACTCACCCGTGAAAAATACTACCTGATCTCGAATCCCTGGACTGGGATGAATTATATTCCTGCTCTTCCATCGATTCCATGGTTGATTTTCTTACATACAATCTCCTCAGTATCCTTAATATCCACGCCCCTTTAAAAACCTCTACCTTTTGTGCCGTGGATGTGTCAAGGAATTAAAGATCCCCTAAGAATGAGCGTGAAATTAAAGTAAGAAAGAAATGGGCGGAATCCCCTTACTTCCGCGAAATACTTTCATCAGCTCCTGATATTAAAACTAAATGGTCACTCTTTCGCAAACTTTCCCTTTGCGAACCTTCTAAATCCTCTACGTCACTAGTCTTTCCAATATCACCTGATCATTTAAACGTACATTTTATATCTGCTACTTCTACCTCTTCCCGCCCCCCTGCGGTTTCTCTCCTCGAACGTCATTTAACGATGACGACTTTTTCTTTTCTTACATTCCTCCTATAGACCTTTTATCAGTGGTAATGAAATCAAGCACTAATTCCACTGGACCTGATGACATTGCCGTAATATTAATAAAACTATACTTTCCTGAAATTCTTCTAGTTCTCCTCTTCATAAACTATTTATCCCTCCAGAATTCAACGTTGTCTACATCGTGGAAAAAAGCTATAGTCCTTCCTCTAAATAAAATATTAAACCCAACTTCTCCTGGGTCCTTCCAATATCTTAAAACCTCTGGAAAGACTAGTGCAATCCGAAGTCTCCAACTTTCTTGAAGAATCAAACCAACTTGAATCTCTCCAATCCGTTTTCCGCACCGGCTACTCCACGCAAACTATTCTTATCCTCCTTGATTTCTCCAAAGCGTTTGACTCCATTAATCATTCAATCCTCTTTTCAAAAATAAAATCATTATCCTTCTCCAACAGTTTCATCTCTTGGTTTCAATCTTTCCTATCTCAAGGTTCCTAAGCCGTACCAAGCACTTCAATACCACAGCGAACTTGGAAGGTGCGGTTAGGGAGTTTTATCGGAGTATTAGATAATAAGGACTGTTGGAGGTGCAATTGAAAATTGAAGAGCAAACCGGCGTGCCATACTCCGCCAAAAGCATACGCTATGTCCAGAAATACACACGAACAATATTGCTTTTTTTCTAGGGTTGAGGAAATACTGTCATCAACTCGGAATCCTTGTTGGACGGTGGAATGTTGAGAACGAAAAACGAATTGATGGGCTGGAAGGTTCTAGGATTCTATTATGGGTAGAATTCTTTTTAGTAGGATCTTTTGAATTTTTTTTTAAAACATTGGAAGTAGGCTAATTAGTCTATAGGATGATGTATTGTTGGAAGGTTTGCCAGGAAGGTTTCTGGAAAAGGACGATAGTGGAATGTTTTCGTAAGAGAGGGAAGTGGGTAGTTCTTAAGATGCAATTATAAAAATATGTCAGGAATATGATGTTGCCAAAAGATCTGTGTGGTTAGGAGGTCGTATCCAAGAGATTTATGAGGTATGATTTTACGCAAAAGGCATTTGACCTCAGAAGGATTAAACTGCTTTAGCTGTTAAGGAGGCTGGGATTGGTGAAGAGAGGAATTCTTTTACTTTCGCAGTATGAGTGGGACTCTGGACGAGGAGTGAATGTACTGAAGAGGTGTCTGGCGAATTTATCAGCTTTGTCATCATCAGACGCTGCCCAGGATCCATTGCATCGACGGAGGGGGTGGGAAATATGATAGGATTGTAGAATTTTTTTAATTCGTTTTCCAGAGGGTATTATCATGAACAGAAAGGGAAGTAAGGTAGGAATTAAAATATTAGGATCTGAAGAATGACAATTCCTGCTTTAATAATTTACAGTAATAATTGTAGGAGCGGCGATCATTCGGAGATTTGAAAAAATGGAGATAATTGGAGTATTAATGGAGCATGATCTGAGGAAAGTTCATCAAGACGGGTTAGGAAATGATTGAGGAGACCTTAACCACTGTGGAAAATAAAATCGAGGATATAATGGTTGCGGTTAGGATCAGTGGGCCAGTAAGTTAGTGAGTGCAGACAGCAATGTTTTACCAAGAGAATCGTGGTTATTGAACTCCATTCTTGATTGTTGATGCAGGGTGGCCGAGCGAGCTAACGCGTGTGCACAGCACCGCCGTTGCCGGGCAACCTGATATATGAGATAATTAGAATATAATAATTCTGAGTTCGCGCTGGCATTAATCCCTCGCCCTTACCTCCTGGCACGGGAAAGCCCCCATATAGCCTAAAAGGTGAGGAAGCGGACAACAAAAAAATAAAAGATTCTTTGCGTTTAAGTCTGCAACCAAGATGAAGTTATGTCCTAGGAGTTGGGGAGAGAAATGATTTGGATATTGGATATGCATCTGTCAGGAGGCCAACATGCTGATGCTAGGATGATGGGAAAGGAGAAGGTTTTGATTACAATGGCGGTGGATTGTTTAAAATCTTGAGTAGGTTATGGGAGAAGGTGATGAGGGAGGGATTGGTGTAAATTATAGCAGTGCCGGCATGTTTTGAACCGTCAGGATAGTCAGTACGGTATGTTATGTACTGTGGTATTTTTAAAAGTTGTTTTTTGGCCAGGAGTTGTTTGTTGTATGGAGTTTTCGTAACTAGTGCTACGTCAACGTTGTCAACTTGTCGAGTAGTAAACCTGTTAGTTCGTCCACGTAATTTCTAACACCATTCGCATTCCGAAGGAGAATTGATACGGATTTGGTAGGTCATTTAAGTCAGTTAAGGATTTTTTAAAGGAGGGATGAGGTAGGATACGAGATTTATAAGGTGTGATATGAGCGAAGTAACAAGGGATTTGAAAACGGTGAGAAAAGATGCCAACAAACTGGTGAGATCTGTGATATTTAGAAGAAGAGGAATATGAAGAATTTGGTGTCGGTGAAGTTCCTCATTATTAGGTATATTAAGATGAACAAAGTCTTAAGGGTGGGGTTGAGGTTCTTGTTGCAGCAGGGCTTTACATTTATCAGTTTGGTTCTTACCTATAAGTAGTTGGGAGAATGATACAATAGTGTTAATTATCTTAGAAGGTTCTCTTCTTGGTCTGTTTTTTTATTTATTTTGATTCCAGGTCTTCTGATATCTGGTTTTGACGTTCTTGTAAATTTGGCAACCCTTATAATTGGTCGGATGTCCCTCCAGACATAGGGCACAAACTGCTGGAACTTAAATCGTTTTGGTGCACTCTGCAGATGTGTGTTCCGTCGTATTTCACGCAACGCGGCAAGTGGTGACAATATGTCTTCGTGTGGCCGTACGCCTGCCAATTGTAGCGCTGCTCAATTTTTCTCTAGGGATACGGCTTCTTAACTTTCACGCTTGTGTAGAATATTCTGGTGATATCATATATCTTTTCGATACCTGGTGATGGCTCCAGGTCTACGAAAAACAAAGGCAGTGGGACTTTATTTCTCCCCCCTGGCTACTGTTGTGCTCTACCACGAGAGGTAGAGCTGTCTGACCGAGTTGTCTTAGTTGGCACCTTACTGGACATCACTTGGTGGTAGTACCGCATATCATAAGAAAAAAAAAGTAACACAAAATAGATTTAGAAATAAATTGGTTTAGCTGTACACACTGTAAATATAACTGTTTTGGCGTATCCTTGGACTGTATTGAGTTAAAAATCACAGATATTTCTCTCGAAAACAAGTAAATTCTTGGAGCCGAGGTGGAAACACAACCGTTCACGTCAGCTGTTTCTTTAAAATTAAGATCTTAAAAGAATTATGTGTAAACATTAATCACTTAAAAAATTCTGTCTAGAAATCAAGCTCTTAAAAGAATCCTGTCTAAAAACTAAGCTCTTAAAAGAATCCTGCCTAAAACCTAAACTCTTAAAAGAATCCTGTCTAAAAAATTAAGCTCTTAAAAGAATTCTTTTTTCCCACAACTTCTCTTTAAATATTTATTGAACATTTTTATTCATTTTGCATTATCCGAATTTAAGTGATTTTCATTCTTTTTTAATCCATTTTTTAAATATTTTTAAGAAAATATTAATTTAGCAAAGAGTTTCTCTATTTTGATAACTTGACCATAACTAATGTCCCTTTAGTTATATTCAATGTCTGATATAACCAACATATAATAAATATTTCCTTTAACTGTGATTGAAAACCTTGGAGCACTATTGTCTTCAATTATTGCCTTGATTCACAAGGGATTCATGAAGAACCGAAAAACATCGACGTAACTGTAATTGATGGATACTATTCTTCTCGGACATAACACACTTCCAAAGTATATCATATAGCACTTTTAGAAAACTAAAACGTGGAAACTGTAAGTGTATTTATTTAGGTTTTGACACTTACACAATATAATACGTAAAGTGAATCTTTGTGCTAGAGACCCTGGTCGAAATTTGTCTCACTCTATTCAAAATAGTTTCAAAGACAGAAATTGGACCCAGTATGACCAGTACTGGTCCTAATGACCAGTCCTAAATCAAAAAAAGTTATTTTTCAGAATCGATAAAAATCACGTCTATAATTTGCAATTGCCGCATTAAATAGTTATAATGTAATTTCACATAAACTTTACTTTATCATTAGTAATTAGGAACTGATATAGCTATATCATAATTAGGTCATAATTTTGATTGTTTTCACAATGTGTCTAGAAATAGTTCAGACAGACAGATAATAAGCGCATTACCTTCAACAATAGCACCATATATCACATCAATTAATTTATTAATCGAAACAGCTCCAATATATAATATAAGAAGTAACATTAAATTCTTTAGTGTTTTTAAAACTACGCAAACGATAATATAATAAGAGACTCTTATATCGAAGATATGTGAAATAGTGAAAATAATAGATAATAAGTCGATACACTTGAGAGTAATCACAAATTCGATAGTGTTTTCAAAAACGAAGCCTCAGGTAACATAAGAACAGACCCCTATATCGAAAATATCCGAAAAAATTAAACATAATCGATAATAAATAAATACCTGTGAAAGTAATCCCAAATTCGATAGTTTTCAATAACTACGCCCTCGATAACTTAATAACAGACCCATATATCAATGAAATCCGAAACGTTATAGAGTTATCTAAATAATCGATAATAAATAATCATAGATAAGAATGTTATAGTGTTTTCAAAAGCGTTGTCTCCGACAACATAAATATAGACTCCTAAATAGAATAAAATTATTTGCAGTTCTAATTTAATGCAGCGGTAAATCAACTTATTTGTTATTTAAATAAATTTATTTATTTGGAACAGTATGAAACGACACCATTTTGTGGTTAAAAAGGTAAGATTTTGAAACGCGTCTGCTGCGTGTATTCAGTGGATATTTATAATGTTATAGGCAGGCGTGTGTTTTGGTCCTTTTTGGAATCCATATTTAAATGCAACAAGTTTGATGGAGTATGAAATGACACCATTTTAGTGGTGAAAAAGGTGAGATTTGAGTCGCGACTGCCACGTGTGTCCAGCGGCTATTTGTTGGCAGACCTGTGTTGTTGGTCCTTTTTTGGAGTCTATATTTAAATACAAGTTGTAGGTAGAGTGAAATGACACCATTTTGGTGGTCAAAAACGTGAGATTTTGAGTCGTGTCTGCCGGAAGTATCCAGCGGGTATTTGATGGCAGACCTCTTAGTCCGAGAGCTCGAGGCAAAAAAGGTGTCATGTTTCATACTAGGCTTTGTCCATATAAATTGATCATATCCACAGGCCTGATGAGAAAAATGCACGTCTTCCAGCATACAGCCACTGGAATACAAAATGGCGGCCCTATGAACATAGAATGAGACCCTACATAAGTTATATGCGTATCTATAGAGAAGGCTTATAGATATATAAAGCTACCAACCCTTTCAATTTATATTATTTACAGTCTTAAGACATAAAATAATAGTCAGTTACCCCATACCTATGGATTTCAATTCAAAAAATTGAGTTTACGATTCAAAAAGTTTACTTTTTTCGGCCTTCGCTTATATAAGATAAACTATGCGTTCTATCTTTAATAATGTGATGTATGAAATTAAATCTGACAAAATTTGCAATAGAAATGGTTATGTTAGTTTTTTCCCTATATTCTATAGTTTCCATGATATCCATCCTCGTAATTCACTATTTTCGAAAAAAAAATTGTTTTACTGATATAAGCGAAAAACCTAAAACAGTAAATTTATAAACAGGAAATCCACCGTTATGGGGTAACTAACTATTATTTCATGTCTTAAGACTATAAATATATAAATTGAAAGGTTTGGTAGCTTTATAAATCTATAAGCTCTATCTCTATATGAAAGCTTACAACCTATGTAGAGTATCTTCTTTCTTCACATGGCCGCCATTTTGTATTCCAACTGCTATATGCTGGCAAACGTGCATTTTTCTTGTCAGGCCAGTGGATATGGTCAATTTATAATGACAAAGCTTAGTATGAAATATGACACCTTTTTTGCAACGGGCTTTTTTGGCTCCAAGACTGTGTGTTTTTGGTCCTTTTTTGGAGTCTATATACACGTTGCATGCTGTGAGAAATGACACCATTTTGGTATGACTTTGTACACAGTCAATTTATATGGTGAAACCTTCTTATGAAATAAGTCACATTTTTTTCCACATTAGAGCTCCCGGACTAATTCATTCATACATATTTTATTATATATAGAAATGGGTGTTATTTCTTAAATTAATTTTCATTTACCCTTCCACTTTATGTTATGTAATGCAAGTATTATTTCTATCTATTATTAGCCGGTACAAACACCTCTCAAGCAACCTGATTCAGAGGCAGAGGATCACACAACTGTGCACATGGGGTATTCTGTTACGCTTTTACATCATGGGATCGTTGTGCACTGCAAGATTCCAGGGATTCCATGGGCAGAGGCTAATAGACTCAGGCCGACTTTCGCCATTGGAAAGGGTATGAATTGCATTTAATCTAAGTTGTATAATTAAACGTGTTTTAGTTTAACCAACATTATGTTCTTATTTTCAAATACTTTAAGAAGCAACTTATTTATAGGGTTATTAAATAAAATATCCCAAAATGTCTAGAAACGTTCTAATGTCACAAACCAACAATAAAAAGAAAACAATACAAAATTAGAGTGATTATAAGGCTTCAGGGCTTATTTTAGAAAGTACATGATTAGATAAGCATTCCAGGGACTAGAATGCTTTATTCTGTAATGTATAATTCTGGTATCCTATTGAGTTGTCCGGTGGACAACTAATAATAATGCATAACAATGCAGAATTTTGGTTTAAATAGAAAAAGAATAATTTACAACTGTTTTATTTAATCAAAATAGTCTCTACTACTATCAATACATTTTTGCCATCGTGTTGGCAACTTTTACATTCCCTTGGAATAGATTTTTTTCAGAATTGATAAACTCAAAAAGGCATTTTATAATTTCCTTTGTCCATTAAATTTTGTTTTACGTAAGTAGTGGTCCAGGTGTCTAAAACACCGAAGGGCACGGAAAGTAGGATTTCATATATGTTCCAAAAGTTTTTGTGACGTCATAGGTGAGGCATGTGGCCGGGCGTTGTCATGCAACAAAATGGGCTCCTTCTGATTCACCAAAGTTGGCTTCATTATTGCCAATTTCTGATTCATTGCATTAATTTTGTCACAATACGATTCGGCATTGATGGTTTCTCCAGGACTTAAGAAGCTGTATTAAACCAAATGAAGCCCACCAAACAGTAACCATCACCTTTTTTGATGAGTTGGGGGCTTTGGAAAATGTTCTGCTGCTTCTCCTTTGTCGAGCCACTGTCCAGAACGTCTACAGTCAAAGTAAAGTATCCACTTTTCATCAAAATGAACAATTCTGGACAGAAAAGGTTCGTTTTTCCCGGCAAATAAATGTAGCACAAACTTCGAAATGCTGTTTTTTTTTTTGTCGGTCGTTTAATGTGTGTGGAACCCAACATTCAAGCTTTTTTATCTTTCCAATCGCCTTGAGGTGGTCATTGACGGTCGATTTGATAAGGTTACGATTCCCTGCAAGTTCTCGTACAGTTGTTCTGGGTTTTTCTTTCACCAGAGGCAGCACAACATCGTCATCAAAAGAGGAGGTCCTTCCACAACCCTCTTTTTCTTCAAGGCTGATGTCTTCCTCCCGAATTTTTTTGAACCACTGTTAAACTGTGCACTCATTAATGCTGCTCTCACCCCAGACTTGATTGATGTTTCTGTCGATTGATATTAGCGTTGATATTGACCCAGATTGACGTCTGGGCCCCATTTCGGACGATTTTAAACACGCAGTATAAATTTGTACGAAAATCACGCGTTGACATCTTAGTAAAAACTGAATTATTTCTAAGCAGATAAATGTTACAGAGGAAAACAAACATTATCGGTTAGAAGAGGATTAGTAAGTGGTGACATTCACACAAGTGAATAATTCAGTAAACGTAAACAGTTTGTTATGTACATTTTAAAGAAAACTCAAAATCCTACATTATTTTTCAGACAACCCAATAATTTATTAAAACAGAATCAGAAACGATTGCAACAACTATAAATCTATCAGTTCAAGAGCACCGGAGACAAAATTTAAAGTGCATTTCTTTTTTTTTTTACAGGAATGAGTAGGGTAAAGGCAACAATCATTGACACGTTACCAATTATTGACACTTGAGAGAGAGAATCACTTTATTATCATAAAAGGGTGCTGCCTAATTACATTGGGTTGCTAAAAACACTGCATACTTATTAATCAACACAGACAATTTTTTATAACCAATATACAATTATATAGGATTAACAATATGTATGAGCATAGAAAAATGTTTAGACTGTTGAGAATTTTCTTCATATTGTAGCATATAGATTCCGTTGATTAAATGGACTTGTTACATAAATCAAATGATATTGATTGTTGCATATATCGACATTGTTTTTCTAACATTCCTCTTAGAGCCCTCACAGCTTATCATTTAATAACGTCTACAAGTTGAACTTTCTTTTCCATTAGTATATTCTCTATTTCGACTCGTGATACGGAATCAAAAAGCGACTTACAGTTCCAAAAAGCAAGAGATAAATTTTTATCTCGATCCTAAGCATTCTTTATAATTGTCCTAAGTAAAACTTATTCTAGGTCATCTTCTATGGCTTTACCTTTCCTGTCCAGGATAAATATACATACTTTTAAGGACACCCTAGGGCAACCATAAATCGACATGTATTTCTTAAAAAATAAGATAATTATTATAAACTATTTTTTGATGTTTCTATGATATTAGCAAACATAAAATCGTACTATGACGATTTATCGAGAGAGAGAAATACTTTATTTAAAGCAGTGCTGCCCTACTATATAGGGTTGCTCGATACACAGCATACTCATCAATCCTCTTTTTTTTTGGATATACAAATTCTTTTTCATATTATACAGTACAAACAATATCAATACTATAATATACTGATACATACAATTACATAATGCATATTTAAGGAATTAATATAATGCATAATATAAGGAATTATATAATGCATTATATATACATATTTCGGTGAAACCAATACAAGACAATTTCTAAAATTTATAGGGCTTAAAAATATATATATATAGTATTCGAATGCCAAAGTTTTAACACCAGAAAATTAGAACGCACACACAGCAAGTAACATAGTCCTATCAACATAGACAAAATTCCTGTGCGCCTCTTTCCCTTCCAAAAGAAATAACCAAATTTATCCTTATTCTTTAGGCACAACTTAACCTCACAACAGTTTTCAAAATTACTCTTAGATTTACTAATTAATACTTGATTATGCTTACAATAAGTAAGTAATGATTTAAAAAAAATTATTCTCCACAGCATCTACGCCTCAATGAGTCGCATCTTTTCCATTAGCGTCATTTACGCCACTGATTTTCAAGCATTATATTATACAAAATTCTTGTTACAATTTATCACACATATAATAAAAAAAAAATAAAACTGTCAAGTAAGGTCAGTTTAGCGTCCTCATCGTTTTCATTAGCTAAAAAATTTCTGATTAAAAGGTCTACAATCTTTCGCATGAGAATAAATAACTGGAAGAAACCGTTTTTGGAAATTCAGCGATCCCTCATTAAATTTGATCATTGATGTCTGTAATGCAAAAGGCGAGTGAAAATTTTCGATTCTGAGGATAAAAATTTGTTCAACTTTTCGCACGAATACTGTACTGTAGGGTCCCCTTGTTAGTGTTGTTTAGCTATTTAAAAGGGCTAACCAAGAGAAATTCTCCTTGCATTTGAAGGAAATTTTGTCTACTGTACTGGTAAACAGTTTTTAATTACCTGGTGTTGTTTTGTTTTTTTCGAGCGGAAAGGTCTATATGAGCTGTTTGTGTCTCTTGAGATTTATTATAATCTATCTAAATATTTCCCATTTCATACGGGACATCCTGCATTGCCTATCTACTGCTTGATGAAAACTTTCAAGTGGTTATTATGCTTCCTGTAATTACAAGAATTAATATTTAAATAAATTATCAATCGAATGAGCTACTAAGTATTATAAATGAATTGTATTAATATATTGGTGCTATGTCTTTTAGATGATTACTTGTTTGTTTACCTTCCTGGGCACTTTATACACATGCTGGATTTGGGGATTGGTCACCAACCATGCTGCCATATCATGCTCCCACATAGAGCGGAGAGTACAGAACACTGGTTTGCCATAAAAATTTCTACATCTTCTTCGACTCTATTAAACATGAAAACTTTACAGACATATACATTAGATATTTCTTATCAGGTGCTCCTCGACTTCTTTTATGATCCAAACATCGGTTTATATAATAAACTCTCAATCATTCATTACATCCTGGTTCATATGCAGGAATTCGATATCATTTGTCAGGTAAGTAAATGACTCCTATTTTAAGTGTCAAGTAATTTACCATTTCATATTTGAAAAAATAAAAATATATTTATTTTAGCTGCTGACAACTATTGCAGAGTATGGTTTGAATCCAGCTTTACAGAACATATTTCATGAAATACTCGTGAGTGGAACATATGCATCAGTCGTAAAATCATTACCATCAGAAGCTACCAAATTGTTACGTTTTCTACCATTTACGACGATAAATAATTTAGACACAATAGAAATAAAGGTACTTTTTCGCAATTTTTAAGGAAATTATAGTATTCTTTAAAAGTTCATTCTTACATTTTGGTTAAGTTTTATATTTATATATATATATGTTTAATGTATAAATTCTAATATATTTGAACTCACAGAATTTCTCAAAAACTATGACTCTAAAACAAGAAGCCCTCTGGAACTCACCTGTGATGCTGCTTACACCTCAACAAAGACTCAGTCAATTTCGTGTCGATCTTTGGACTCAACTTTGGAATTTGATCACAGAAACATCTTGCATATCTAGATTCAAACTATCTACAGTTGCTGAAAAGCTGATGGTTTCTTTAGTTTGTTATCAGGTATGTCGATTTAATGATTTTTCGATTTTCCATACAATTTTATCAAAATATATATTTATTTGCCCAGCCTGAAGCATTATCTCGCTGCAGTACTCCCCTTAGTCCTGGCAGTGGATTTTCTATTAACGCATCTCTTTTAGAATGTTCCAACATAGGAAATTACAAAGCGAAACATTTACTACCGTTTCATGAAATTGAAAGGTGTACCGCATCAAAACAAGAGCACGTAATATCAGTAGTAAGTAAATTATTCTTTTTTTTTTTTAAATTGATGAATATTTGAAATAATTGATAATTTTTATTTTCAAGAATTTGAGGGAATTAAGCATACATTTAGTAAAACATGGTTTGGAGAACCCTATGCAAGTCCATGTTGTTGCAACTCGTTATGCTGCTGCACAGTTAGAGATGTCTCGATTTTTGTGTAGTCTTATTACCAAGTCTTGTGCGATTCCTGTATACCAATTAAAAGGATTCCAGTTAATGTTAGTAATGTTTTGAAAATTTTCCATTTCGTTTAATAAAGCCAATAACTAATTCTTAAATTATTTTTCAGTGATGAATTACCATCTATTAAGAAAAAGGTATATTATATTATCCTTGAGAGGTATGCTTCAGCTGTGGATACTCTGGCATATCCCACTCCACAGGGATTTTCTTCGTTTTTTACCTACTTGACGTACAAGACGTTACCGTTTGATGAGTTTGTACAACATATACAAGCAAGAGCACTTACTCTGCAGATTGATGTAATGAAAATAATTTTACCTGGTTAGTGAAATAATAGTGATAATTGCTGTCTAATACACTAATCATAATACATTTTTTAAAAATTTGTTTACATATGTCTGTGTATATGTACTGGATTTTCCAGATCTGGGTGACGACAGCACGGGTGTAAAAAAGAAATTACGATTATTACAATTGCTTCCACGTTCCAGAGCTAAAAGGCTTTTAAATCAATGGTTTCATCCAGTAAGCCTTATGATAAGAGCAAGGGAGCATTCCTTAGGAATTTTATCTGGATTGGAGTCGAAAATATGTCCACCTAAAAATTTTTATGTTAAAGGTATGATTAACCGTTTTATTTATAATCATGTGTATAGAGTGATTGAGAAGCTAAGTAAATAAGCAACAGGTCAAGAGAATGGGAGGATAGCTTTTAATATTTAGATTGAAAGATTCTTTAAACATTAGAGGGCGGGATTGGAAGGTGTTAAGCTGACTCACGACACAATAGTCACTAGAAGAATGCTTCATTATAATATAAACAATAACACTTTGTTTATACTTATTGGTAGAAATATAAATATAAATGGGAAAATCAACTTTATTCAGGGACGAAGTCTCTTAAGAATTACATAGTGTTAGAGAGAAAAAACAAAGAATTACTTTAGGCAAGACCTACTACTTTAAATAAATAAATATATAAAAAACCTCAAGAAAATTAGCAATATATTCTTATAATTAGAAAACCACTCGTTCAGGCAAGATCTCAACCATGCGCTTCTTCCTAAATATATCAATATGAAATTTACTTCTAGAAATTTCTGTTAAACAAATAAAATTGTATAGTGCTAAAATTAAGTTTTATCTTAATTAATATAGTCGTAAATATCGTGTCCGTGACAAAAGCAGCGGAGTTGGAGTCGTAGGGACATCTTATCAGGCATCACCTTAATCCCAGCAGCGTACACCCAGACAAACATGTGTGCTATTATTATTGTTTTTATTTCACTATCTCTATTTAAATTACGATAATTTAAAATAATAGAAACTAGCTGACCATTGCGAATACTTCGCACAAATCTTATATCTGTATCTGATTTCAATACATTAATAGCTCAGCCAAATTTCCATTCAATAATGTTTGATACGCAAAGGTTTAATACATATATTTAGTAAGCCATCATTTATAAATATGATTTACAATTTTCCATGGTTTAACCATTGCTTTTCCTCAAAAATACAATTTAAATGTTAGCTTTTCCTTCATTAGATTATCATACATTAACAAAAGCTTCTTGCTAATTGCTTTGAACATCTGATGACGGCAAAAGACAAAATATTCAAATTCTCAGGGAGAAATAGTTAGTGCAATCATTTTTAATTTATCATTAAAAAAAAAAAAAATCGAAAGTGTATTTTTAAAATGATAAACTTCAATAATAAACAAATAAAAGAAAAAGCTAAAGTAATTGATGCACATTGACAAACATTTCAAGAAGTGTTGTAAGGAAGACACATTTATATAAATAAAAATACAATTAATAATTTAATTAATTAAAATGCTAGTAATGCGGCTGAGCGAGAGGTGCTAGGATCTCCTAGAGTCCTGCTTTTCTTTCCTCGTGTGGGGGGAAAAGGTTGGCTGGGTGATCTTGAGTGAAATAATTTTGTTAACATTATATAAAAGCATGTGTGTATTTAAGTAATTGTTTTGATTAGTTTAGTTTAGTTTATTTTAGTTTATATACATTTATTTATTATTTTTATTTATATTTATATTTTTATTTATATATATTAGTATTATTATTTTGCTGTTTATTTATATTTATTTATTGTACATAGTGTCAATGAGCTACTCTTATCACTATTACTAATGTCCTTGGATGTGACATATTGTAATATATCTCACTAAAGAATTTTTGAAGTAGAAAAGAAATTAATTAAAAAGAATAAAATGTTTTGAAATTAAAAAAAAAACTACTAATTGATGGATTACATATTGTACCCCCGAGAAAAGGCCTCATTCCCATATGCAACAGAATTTTTGTAGTTTATTTAGGAAGGTCCTGTTGATGTAATTTAGTGTTATATCTGGCCCTAAATTCCTACTGAATTTCTTGTATATAGCTAAAGTCATGTTGAAGTTATAACATTTTTTGTGATTTTCGAAAAAAAAAATCAAAGGGGCTTGGCTCAAATTCGTGAATTTTTTTTATTGTTATGAAAATTCGCATTTATTGGTTTTCCAAGATGCGAAATACAGATCTCAACTTAAATTAAAATTAAAATTAACACCAATAGGATTTCGATCATTTTTTAAAGGGAATTTAGCAAGTTATCCCTATAAACACTGCACATTTTTCTATGAGCGTCTGCAGCTCGCTTTTTTAAAATAATACGACAAAATATGCTGATAATGAATGCTATTTTCTTCCATATTCACAGTGCAATAGCAAACAAAATACTAAGCTAGTTTCAACAAGAGTTAACAGATATAGTTGTTGACATATTATAAAAAGGATAAACAATCAACCTTAGGGATTAATTCATCAGATAAGAAGTGTATCATAGTGACTTAAAAATAAATAGAAAAACCTAAAGGACTTATTTTCGAACCTAATATTATTGTTGGGTGATAAATATTCAGGACGCAGTCTTTTTTAAAATTTTTATTTTTGCCAACGTTTCAACTCAACCATGTGGTTCATCTTCAGGGCTGAAAATGTTTTTTAAAATACAATCAGAGATATAATAGTATACGACCGCTAATTATAAATAATAAACTGCGGTAATTATACTACTATAAATAATTAGCGGTCGTATACTATTATATCTCCGATTGTATTTTAAAAAACATTTTCAGCCCTGAAGATGACCCACATATTTGGGTTGAAACGTTGGCAAAAATTAAAATTTTAAAAAAGACTGCGACCTGAATATTTATTATCCATGATATGTAGAACAGTCGACTAACTTCCTTAAAGAATTCATCAATATTATTGTTATTGACTGCTAGCACAAGTTTACTTAGGTGTATCTAAATGGATGTTATGACATAGCTGTTGTTCCTTCATGGCAGAGATGGGCAAATGCTACTCTGAGTACCAAATATTTTTCTTAAATACTGATCTTTTTTTGAGCACTAAAGAAATTAATTATTACTTCAGTTGATGCCAAACGATTAACTGAAGTAGTGGTTGAATTCCCAATAGTGATTCAATTTGAGTAAAATACTTGGTACTCGGTACTCAAAGTAGCATTTGCCCATCTCTGCTTCATGGTGCGGAGTGTCGCCGCTATCTCGGATTGTCTCTCCGGTCTCCAAAACTGACTACAAGCGGACTGTTGTCCAAGATTCACTCAGCCCCAGACTGACTGCCTCTCTTCTTGGCTCCAAGCTGACTGTTCACCCCTCTGTTGTCCCCGACTGACTTATCTTCAAACTCTGTGTTGTCCCAGACCCCTGTTTTAGGACTTCCTTTTCCAAGTTTCATCCCATTGGCTGAAGTTTTCGTAGCAGAGGGGATGACCACGCCTAAGGCATTACGGTCGCACAGTGGACCGAACCGCTAAAATCGGGGACAAAATACCAATTTTCAAGTATTATTTTCTCATTATGTTTTGTATCTTCTTGAAGCCAGCTGGTCACATCGAATGTACAAGGAATGAATATTTTAAAAATGTTTCTCATGATGAAATTTAATTCCAAAGTTGGTGTTATTGGAAGAGTAAATTTGAATGAAATGTGATAACGATGATTTATATTAAATTATAGCTCAAACAAAGATACAAAATCCAAGGAAATAACAATGCAGAATACTTATTGTGACCCCTATATGTACCTTTTTTGTACGAACAAAATTCGTTCTTTTAGAGTTATTTCTACTTTATTTTTTTTACTTAATGAAAATATACAATTTCGGACCCAGAAGCTACCGTGTTTTTAGTCACATATTGTCACTGGGATAGTAGTAAACATGTTCAGAAACAATTTAGCCGCGACTACCTGCGACAACAGTTTTGGCACAATTTTTTTGTAACTTAATTGCTAAGAAAACTCTGGAAAGAGCATTTTAATACCTTAATACTTCAATATTTCTTCTGTGAGATATAGGACGTATCAAGAAAAACGCGTTTGCGAATATAATATATAAGAGAAAGTAGAGGACGGAATTCAATAAAATCGATACAGAATAATTAATTTACCGAAATTCACATTTCTTTCTACTGTGACCCAAATCGGACGAGCGGTTTCTGAAATATTGGCATATCTATGAAAATACATTACGCGTACACTTGCGCAAGCGGATGGAATTTGATATGGGACCATCGATTTAATTACAGACAGACACACAGACACTTAATTGTTAAGTAAGAGTATTTTAGTACCTTAATACAATCATTAATAGTGAGGTGAGATATCTTTATTAACAATTAACTAGTTATAAATTGACATTGATTTAGGAGAAACAGCACAGCTGATAGGTAATTTCCCTTGCGGGTCCTACCTTATCTGTGGTAAATTCACGGCCAAGGCTAAGTATATAAACATTCCTTTCCTTCATTTATAACATTATAAAGACTGATAAGATTTCTTTTTTTTTTTTTTTTTTCTTCTTTTCTTTTCTATATCTGAGATTCAGTATTTTTATTTATGTATATCAAGAAAATTCTTTATTTCACTTATGTAAATGTTTTAGATTTTAAGAAATTTATTCGTAAATTTTCATTTTGGTTTTCAGATATACTATATATATATTTTATTTTTATTTTTTTGTTTTTTCCGTTCATTCTATCTTTAAAAATGGAACCTGATAACAATACCTATAGTGAAGATTCGGAGGAACAGACCCAATTTTCGGAAATAAGTGAAACAGACTCACAATATTTGAAAAGAAGGACATGGTCAAAGCGCCACCGAAACTCTGCCCTGGGTTGGGAGGGCAACTCTCCTAATACGAAAAAAAAAATAAGACGGACAAAAAAACAAACAAAAAAACTTGAATGCAACAAATCGGCACCAGCCACTCGTAATACAGCCATCAAATTAGAACCAATCCCTCCATCTACTTCTATTAGTACCATAGTTCGAGCCAACAATTCATCGAATCAGACTCAGGAGTCAAAAGGTTTTTCTGTTCCAAAACTCCCTCCTATTTATGTTATGAAAATTGATAATTTTATCTCCTTCGGACAAGAAATCTCAGATTTGATCGGTCAGCCAAAATTTAGTTGCTTTTCCACATTTAATGATGTGTAAATTATTACCAATTCCAAAGAAAATTACAAAAAGCTCATTGAACATTTAACACCCAGAAACTACGATTTCCATTGTTAGCA